CATCCTTCTTTTCTGATGCACTGTAACCTGTTTGCCTCATGTTTGACATTCTTTTGTTCTTCTGGGCCACCACTAGGGGTTACTTCTGTGTGTTTGTTTTTTTTTTTAAGGGCTAGCCATACAATAGGCAACCATGCCACTAGGGACTGACTACCAGTTTGCCAACAAAAGCTTCATTGCTGGGCAGCAGCATCAAGACAATCCTTAAACTTCAGGTACAGGTTCACCAGGTTGTAAGCAACATTTTCTTCTTGTTCAGCCACCAGTTTGTCACAGGATTGCTCCACAAGACAGCAGAGAATTTTGGCCCTGCCTACTCTTCCACTCAGTGCGGTCAAAGAAAAAGAAAGCTCCCCGGGCAGGGTTCGAACCTGCGACCTCACGGTTAACAGCCGTGCGCTCTACCAACTAAGCTACCGAGGATGACCTACCCTCACCCTCCTGAAAACTCATACTCTGTTCTTTTCGTTCAAGACCCCTGATCTTGCTTTCGTTTGGATCGTCACTCTGTTGGCCTTGTATGTTATGCAACTACAGTGGTATTGCCCTGCCTGATATATATATCTTTAGGCCTGTGATCGTTGCCAGGCAGCGGAAATGGTGCATAGTTTGGATTTCTGGTACGCGTAAGCCGAGCGTAGAGTTTATGCTAACACAACAAGCAAACACTCGATCGGTGCTGCTCCTGTTCGCCAACCTACGCCCAGGCCACGACGCTGTCGTAACTGTTGTATTTCACCACCACGTGCCCGCAGCTCTACGCGCACTCTACACCACCCTGCCAACGTTCCAAACATCCTCACCAAATCACCAATTGAGAAGATGCGAAGGTGCGCCACTGCGTCTGGACTCCGGGGCTTGCGATCTCTCCCTCGCCATGAGAGCGGTACGACACCCGACCACTGAATCACTGCATCTCGCTTTTATGCCGCGGTCTTCCCTTTGCGTTAATATTAATCCGATTTAATCGCACAGGCTCATTTCTGTTGCGACATGCCAGCACGGACACACCGAAACCGTACAGCCCCTCCTCCCCAATCCAAGCTTTTTCAATTTGTAATAATTATTTATTCATTTCTTTATTTTTAATTGTTCGATTTCGATTTTTATTTAGTTATTTATTTATGTGTTCTACGGTGACGTGGGGCCATATCGTCGTGCCAGGCCGACGGCGGTGGTGATGATGAACCTGGGTGGCCCGGAGACCCTCAGCGACGTCCGACCCTTCCTACAGCGCCTCTTTTCTGACCAGTACGCCATCTTCTTCTTCTACTTCTTCTACTTCTTCTACTTCTACTTCTTCTACTTCTTCCTTCCTCTCGTTGTGGCAGCTGACGACGCGTGTCTGCCACGCGGTGATCGCCGCACGTGCGTGTGCGGTGTCTGCCACGCGTGCGTGTGTGTTGTGTGTTGTGTGTTTTGTAGGGAAATCGTGCAGATGCCCTTCCCTCAAAAGTTTCAGGAGAACGTCGTAGGTCCCTGGATCGCCAAACGAAGGCACGTCGCACACGACACGACACGCGCACGACACGACACGCACACGACACGCACACACGACACGAACACGACCAACGACACGCACACGACGCCATCGTCTGATTGGGGGGGAGCAGGTCGCCGCGGATTGAGAAGCAGTACGCGGAGATCGGGGGCGGGTCGCCCATTCGCAAGTGGACCGAAGCGCAGGCCCGCCAGATGGAGAAGCTCCTCGACCAGTCCTCCCCCGCCACCGCGCCCACAAAGGTACGACCCGCCGCCTCTTTGTCCACCCCCCCCCCCAACATGTATGTGTGTCGTGCGT